TAGTCAAACAAAGAGTAAGGAGACTAAAAAATATATGTTTAAACTAGTCAAACAAAGAGATAAGAAAAGGAAAGATTTAACTCAAGTGAAGTGTACTAAAGATGCAAATCAAAAAGTATTTTTCGTAGAAAATGATGTTTCTTAGAGATAGGATATTTAACATAGGTGGGTGAGTTTTTTGATAAATTTTTTTAATGAAGTTCCTGAAAATGCGATCGACCTTAGTGATCTTAATATTATTAATAAAAATAAAACGATTCATTTTTACCACCCCATTAATAAAAAATAAGTTGAGGAGGCTTTCAAAAAAATCAAGGGTGGAAAGTTTGTAGGACCTGATGATATCCCATTTAAAGTGTGGAAATATTTAGGAGATTTGAGAGTTACTTGGCTTATTAAACTCTTTAATATTATTTTAAAAATTGAAAAGATGTCTGAGGAGTGTATTTTGGTCCCCATTTTTAAGAATAAAGGGGATGCACAAGAATGTGTCTATTATAGAGGTATTAAGTTGATGTGTCATACTTTACAATTATGGGATAGGGTAAGTGAACAAAAGTTAAGACATATTACAAAGATTTCTCATAATTAATTTGGATTTATGTCGGGCAGGTTTATTATAGAAGCTATACATTTATCTGATGTGTCATACTTTAAAATTATGGGATAGGGTAAGTGAACAAAATTTAAGACATATTACAAAGATTTTTCATAATCAATTTGGATTTATGCCGGGCAGGTTTACTATAGAAGCTATACATTTATCGAGAGTTTTGGTGGAGAAGTTCAGAGATAATAAGGAGGATCTACATTTGATTTTTATTGATTTAGAAAAAGTTTACGATAAGGTTCCACGAGATATCCTTTGGAGAGTTCTTGAGACGAAAGGTGTTGATATGACTTATATTCAAGTCATTAAAGATATGTATGCTAGAGCTTTTACTTTTTTTCAAATTGAAGGAGGATTGACCAATTATTTTCCTATTTCTGTTGCATTACATAAGTGAAGGTTTTAAGCCCATATTTTTTGCTTTAGTTATGAATGGTCTTACTGGACATTTACAGGAGGATTTACCTTGGTGTATGCTTTTTGTTGATGATATCCTTCTTGTGGATAAGGCTAGAGAAAAATCCTAAGAAAAAGTTGATTTATGGAGGTCTACATTGGAGTCTAAAGGCCTTCATTTGAGTAGAACTAAAACTGAATACATGGAATGTAATTTTAGTAGTAGTAGTTCTAGGGGCAGAAGTGTAACTTTGGGTGATCAAATTATTAAAAGGTATGAACGTTTAGATATCTTTGGTCTGTTGTTCAAAGTGATGGTGATATAGATGGTAATGTTAATATGGCTGTTAAAAAAGCTTGTTGTTCGCGAACAACTCTTTGTTTATTTAATGGCTGTCAAAAAAGCTCGTTGTTCGCGAACAGCTCTTTGTTTACTTAATAAGTAGCTCGTGTTTGCCGAACGCGAACAAATTTTTAAAGCTCGAATTATAAACGAGTCAAACACGAACAGCTCTTTGTTCGCTCGTGTTCGGTTCATTTTTAAGTTTAACGAGCCAATTTCTAGCTGAACACGAGCCGAACACTAAAACGAATATTTAAATCGAGTCGAACACGAACATTGTTCACGAGCCGATTTCGAACACGTGCTATTTTGAACGAGCCGAACGCTCAAGCTCGGCTCGCTTAAAGCCCTTGTTAGGTAGAATTCAAGTTGGTTGAAGTGGAGGAATGCTTCGGGCCTTTTGTGTGATATAAAAGTACTGCTTAGACTGAAAGGAAAATTTTATAAGAGGGTGGTGAGACCTGCAATGCTCTATGGCGTTGAATGTTGGTCTTTAAAAGAGAAGTATAATACTAAGTTAAGTGTTGTTGAGATGAGAATGATTAGGTGGATGTGTGGCTTTACATCTAGAGACAATGTGAAATGATTATATCTGTAATTATATCCGTGATAGGGTTGGTGTAGCTCCAGTGACGGACAAAATTAGAGAAAGTCGTCTTAGATGGTTTGGTCACATTAAACGTCGACCATCTGATGATTCGATTAGGAGATATATGTTTTAGATTCGACTTATGTTAAGAAAAACAAAGGTAGACCTAGGAAGACTTGGTCTTATTGTATAAAAAAATGATCTTAATTTATTAGAAATGAATGAAAATATGACACTAAATAGGACGCAATGGAGAAAAAGGATTCATGTAGTCGACCCCACATAGTGGGATTAAGGCTTTGTTGTTGTTGTTGTAACTCTTTTCTTATGGATGGAGATTTTATTTTTTGTAGCTCTTAGGTTTGTATATATTTTGCTTCTCCCAAAATTGAAGTTCTCGCCTACCTTTTTTTATCGTTTTATAAGTTCTCACCTAGTTTCTATTCATAAGAACAGATCATAGTGAACCCTCTTTTTTTGAAGGAATTGTTATTGCTCTTATGTATGGGACATGCTGGAGGAAGATTTCCATATCTTGTTTGGTTGTGATTCTAACTCTGATATTTGGAAGAGATTGTCTTTTTTTTTTCTCCTTGCTTATTATAAACTTGGATTCAACTTTTACTTGTTGGAGAAGCACTTCCAATGAGTCATTTGTTGTTATCAATTTCTCAACACATTAGATTATGCGTTAAAATTTTATATAATAACGTTGTTTTTTCTTCCTTTGCTTAGGGTAGTTATGCTTTTTATTTTTTATTTGTGAACCCTTTTATTATCTTCCAACGAATTTAAGGTTCTCAAGTAATTGTCGTGGTTTATGCTATTCCTTCAAATAATCCTTGCATTCTCTTTTAGATGTAGTCAATGACTAAGATTGGTGACTTCTTACATTCGCAAGCTGATTGAAAACCATTTTACTCTGAGGTTAGGTAAGATGACATTGTTCCCAGTGAGAATTAGGAGCTTTACTGACCACCCTCTTTTGCCGCAGCCCTTTCACAGTTTTTCTTTGTTTATTGCTCAATCTTAAGCTTAATAAAATATATGTAAAGTATATTATTTCGATTCTTACTTCCATTTTATTATACTTATAGATTAAATTTATAATATTACAATTAGATTATCTATGTTATATGTATTTCGGTGTTTGGAGGCAAATAAGTTATTGATAACCTCAGTGTAGCATAAATAATATGGGCATTTACATATTTCCACAAAATTCTTATGTATTTACATATATAACACCTAAAGTTCCATATTTACATGCATATCACTCAAATCCTTAATATCACATGAAAAATACTACTATCACCTAGTTTTTAAAAGTAGAATACATCTTTTTATGCTTATGTTTATCACACCAAGGTATTATGCATGTAAATATGAGAGTTTAGGTGTTAAATATATAAATACATAAGAATTGTGTGGTATGTATGTAAATTTTCTTAAATAATAATGTTAAGATAAATTTAGTGCAAAACTAAGAAGGCCTGTGGTTGGAATGAGACGAGTTTCTGCATAAATTAGGGCATAAATAATAAATTTTATTTCATCGGTACCATGTCAAAACGATACAATTCCTAATACATAAAAGATAAATCTACAATTTGTAGGTAGACAGTTCTCTTCCAAACTCTAGCCTTAAGATTCAAGACAAAAATCACTTAACCTAACCCTAAACATATTGAGCCCTATTTATACCCTACAATAATAACTAATAAATGAGTAAATTGCCCTTTTAGTCTTGTGCTTAATAGAAGTCGTACAATTATTTATTTGGCTCGGCATTGACTCACTGGAGCACGAGGCAGATGACGCCATAGACGCTGGTTTAATAGAATATCCAAGAAATGATTATGTTAAAGAGTGATAATGGAAAGAACACCTATTTGAATTTTGAAGATGCACTTTAGTGTATTATCTATTTACATGGATTGTAAGAAATGGCATCATAAGACAAGAAGATAAAATTAATATAGAAGGATTAGGAATGAAACATACTGAACTAAAGGAATAAGGACTGAAGTTATACAAAAAGATTTGTGCCTAATTGTTTCAATATATCATGCATCACTCAGAAATAATCGGTTCAGAATGAGGACAGTAAAGCAACTCCAGCTAGTTGGGATATGGCCAATAAAGACAATGATGATGAGTTTATTGTTTGTAAGATTATGCTACGGGCCTTTGATTATTTATTTTACTCTTATGTTATATAATTATTTTCTTTTTCTTTTGCTTAGATGGAAGAGTCCTCAAGCATGTATGTTTTTTTTTTGTCGGGATATTGTATCTGTGTATTTATGGATATGCATATGCAGATCTCTCTTTATAGATTTCTTTTTTGTTTTTGTTTGGTATTTGCTAACATGTTCATGTACAACTTTAATGTATTGCGTATCCCTTATAAAATTTGTTTCATTCTTGCTTAATCAGCATCTATTCTTTATGTTTTGCAGCACTTAAGATTCTTTTCTACATAATATTAAACTTGGGTGTTATTTTTATGAATTTAGGCATACCTTTGATATCCAAGAAAAAAGTGATATGCTTGGTTAATCTCTAGTTAAAAGGGTCACATATGAAATCAAATTAATCATTGGGTCGTGTTCACTTGTTGCTGAAAACCATGAGATAGATGTAGGCAAAGAAGATTGTAAGAATAATGTTGGTGAGGAAGAGAGATTTGTTGGATCATTGTACACATCAATAGAGTATTAAATTGTTCTTGTTAATTTATGATATAAGAATAGCTGTCATTTCTGCTTCATAAAAAAAAAATTGACTGACAGTTCCTGGTTTGAGAAGTGCATAGGTGGCACCTAGGCAGCATTTATAATTGAATCACTTGTAACGGAGCGGCTATTTATTGTAATTGCTCAAATTTTTATTAGCTTTAAAAGAAAATGGATTGATTAGCTAGCATGCTTCATTCTATTTGTTAGCAAGCATATTTCGCACAATTAATGTTCTTGGTTTTTTTTCAGCCAGGATTATGAACTGTCAACTTGCTAGCTGGCTTTAGTTAAGCGGCAATTAAAACATAGTCTTTGTTGCAGGTGTGGATATCAGTATGAATACTCATCTGAAGACTGTGAAGCTTACACTCAGAGGTAAAAATCCTGTTACTCTTGATCACCTGAGTGTGCGGGGCAACAATATTCGGTACGTTATTCTTCCCGACAGCTTGAATCTGGAGACGTTATTGGTGGAGGAGACGCCTCGGGTTAAGCCGAAGAAGCCTACTGCTGGTACTTGTTTTTTATTTTTGGGGCATTTACTTGCATACGAGCTAATTCCTATATATTTACATATCTAACACCTATACTTTCATATCACATAAAAATACCACCATTTTGACTTTTTTAAAAAGAAATACACTTTCTCATGCATTGGTAAGTTGGCATGTATGTAAATCTTCTTTATTATTATTTTTTATTTTTTAATTATTCCATTTGAAGCACTATTTGTATAGTCTGTGCTAAATCTCGTCTTCTATGTTACAGGGAGGCCAATGGGTCGAGGTCGGGGTCGGGGTCGTGGCCGTGGTGGTCGTGGCCGCGGCCGTTAACTCCATAAACAGCATTAGACACTTGAACCACCTTTTTTTTTTTTCTCTCCCTAAAGAGGCTTAGCAAGTAATGGGAACTTGATCCGAATTTATAACCAAGGAGAAACCAGGCTTCTGCGTACATCTCTTGAATACATAATGTTGTCCTTTAGTCAGACTGTTACGGTAACGCTCAGTTGGAAATGTATTATTAAAACATGATAGAACTGTGCTTGGTTAGTAGGATGCAACTTTGCGCTCGTGTTTGATCATGGTATGTTGGAGAAATTCGAGATTTAGACAGCTTCATTGTGTTTTAGTTCGTATTTAATGCTGCTATTCTTTTGCTTTTCAAGAAATAGGGATCGCAGTGATTGGAACTGTTTTGCTTTTCAAGAAATAGGGATCGCAGTGATTGGTAGATCGCAGTGATTGGAACTGTTTAAGTATTTCTTCAATGACTTTTTGTTTTTAAGGAAATTTTGAAGGTCATGATCAGCTTTTCATAAGTAAAATATTTTGAGCAAGGCATCACAAAATTGAGTAGATAGAATAAACCCTATTAAGACAACCAAAAAAGAAAGGAAAATAGAAAAACAAAAAGATGAACTTATCAAACTAATATTAGAAGCACAGGCGTCCATTAATAATTTCTTTTTGGGGGCATTTACATGTATAACATACAATCATTACGTATTTATGTATCTAACACCTAAACATTCATATTTACATGCATACCACTCAAATCTTTAATATCATATTATAAGCATTACTTTCACATCTTTTTTTTTTTAAAGTGAAACGCACAATTTCATGCATGGTTTTAAGATACCAGTGCTGGAAGTGTACATATCAAATAATGGGTGTTAGATGTGTAAATACATAAGAATTGTGCGGCATGTATATAAACTTCACATTTTCTTTTTGTGCATTTAAGGACATAGCACACTTCTTATGTCTTTACATATCTAAAGCCTTAATTTTTTGTATTTACAAGCAACAGTCAAATCCTTAATATCACATCAAAATATTAATTTTATTTAATTTTTAAAAATGAATACACCATTTTAAGGATAATTTTAGGACGCCAATGTGTACTAAGTGTAACTATAAAAGTTTTGGCGTTAGATGTTATTGAATGCTAGCAAATTTGTGACAGGAGAGTGATAATTTAATATAACATTGTACGAAGATTCAACATATAACAATTGTAACAATGCTATCAAAGTCTTAGAGCTTATAACAATCGTAGTTGGCTATAACAATTGTCGTTGGTGGTTGACAACAACCTCTGGTGGTTAACAAAAGACTCTAGTTGTCAATTGTGATCTCAGGTGATTGACAACAACTGTCGGGACTTTAAGAGTTAAGTTTTAATAGCCAGCTAACTTTTCTATTCTCTTCCTATTCATTCAAGTTAAGAATGAGGGCCTATTCATTGTTTTTAAGAGTGGTATTTTGGTAAATTTAGCATGAATCTCAAAATACTCTTTTTGGTCTCATTTACTCCCTCAATCATAGGTAATTTTTTCAACATTTAAGTGCCTTAGCGACCTTGAAATTAAATAATTTGGGACCTGTTGGATTTCTCTTGTCGAGCCGCTCGATCTGACTATAAACATGACAAATTTTGATATTATTTAACCTTCCAATTGATCCACCAAAGCCTTCAACCACACTTTTAAGTGTTTGATTTAGACATATTTGACATCGAATCACTTTCAGCATTATTGAGATCGTCTTGGCGAGATCCTCAGCTTAATTATAAACTTGTTGCAATCAGGCTTCAAATGATCTTGAATTTGAATTTAGAACGTTTCTTGAACAAAATGCATCAAGATTTGTGCCTGGTGATTGAAATTTGTGTGACATGCATATAAATTCCTTTTTATCTAATGAGTGCTCTAATTAGGCTCTTTGAAGTTCTCCACTTTTTCTGAGTAAATAAGTACTCTCGGCGGCCAATGATCAAATCAAAGACATGTACCATAACTTCCCTGTCTTTTTTTTTTTTTTATTATCAAATGATCAAATCAAAGACATGTACCATAACTTCCCTGTCTTTTTTTCTTATTATCCGCACATAAGAATAGAAGTTACACAAAATATATGTTGAAGAGATTTTAAAAAACCGATAGCATATGAAGATCTTGTTTATTGTAGCTTAAGAGTTTCTCAAAACATATACAATAAAAGAGATGAATTATTACATGAAAAAAAAATATTAGGATGGAAATTTTTTTTTGTAAAAAATACTTTGATTTTTATTTAGAATGTATTTAGTTGTTATCACAAATGATGATTGTGATTACACACTTTCATGAACATATCTTAATTTGATAAGAACGAGTCAACTTGCTAGCTCAATTTAGTAAAATAAATGTAATAGCATGTTTGTGATGAAGCTTAGTGTTGAATTGTGGTTTGCCCATGAATCACACCCTAATGAATAGAGCAAGAAGGAAGAGAGCTAGAGAGGGCGAGAGAGAGAGATAGAGAGTGAGAGAGAGAGAGAGAGGGAGAAAGAGAAGAGTGAATAGTAGATGAACGGAGGGCGAGAGAGAGAGATAGAGAGTGAGAGAGAGAAGAGTGAATAGTAGATGAACACTAAATTATATCAATCGTGTTGACGTATTCCGACTTTTTTTGGCTAAACCAGGTATATCACTCCAAAACCAAAGCTTACCAAAAGAGTTCTTCCTTCAGCTATTAAGCTAGAGTAACAAGAGCTATTGTGGGCTCTAGGTCTCACACTTCTAACATCTCCTTCTCAAAGTGAGTGATGAACAAGAAAAGGCTCATGTTCTATCCCTGTATGATATTGAATTATGGTAGATTATCCCAGAAGTGTAATGTATCGAAGATTTAATGGTTGGATCAATGTGAACAATTCCTTGAAGATACATCACCTAATGAACAAATTTGATTAAAATAAGCTAAACTTCTCATTATTTCTTATATGAATCAACTGCTCCTTTAGAATAAAGAATTTTAAGATGAAAGGTTGTGAAGTGAGGAAAATTCAAGGTACAATGCCAACAAGAAATATGAATTTTCACAATGTCTTTATGAGGCAAACTTTGCAAGGCTCAGTTTAGTGTGATGAAAATTTTGAATCACAATAGTTTTAAAAAATTAAGACTCTTAGGATAAATTAAATGCTAACGATTACACACAGACATAATAGAGTCCATTGAAGTGTAATTTACGTCAAAGAGAGCTAGTTAAGATGGGGCCTTATCGGCAGTGATGGTGACCAGGTTGTCACCGCCAAATAACAACTTCAAATGCCTATGAAGTTGATCTTGGTACTACAAGCTTATAAACTCAAATCAATGCACTTTATCATGCATTAGTAATGTCTTGTTGAACTATGATTTAATTAGACACTCACTGATTTATTATAAACCAAAACTCATGATCATAAAAATACCAATTTTGATACTTTTTTGAACCTATTTTCTTTATGTTTGTGCTTATATTTTAAGTAAAGTACTAGTAACTAGCATTCAAAAAAGTTGAACCTAAAAAATAATATGTACAATTCCAACCTGTGAGCTCACAGTGGAAAATTAAACCCTCAACCACTATGTTGCAGGTAAGTGCACATTAAAAAAATATCATTTAAATAAATTTTTCGTATCTCACATAAAACATTTATGCTATAGATAATATAATTTGTGAGCGACCAAGAGCCTTACCCAAGAAAAGTTTTTGGTCAATTTTGATTCCATGATATTCTTTTGAAGCTTCGACAAAATTTTTTTTCCTAATGCTGTATCCATCTATCAACTGATGGTCAACTCTCATAAATCGTCAGAGAGTGATAGTGAAACCCTAGAGGCAAATTGCTGTTGATAATGTATCGATGTTTAACTGCAAGATGTCTGTCGATCACTGACATACCTCTCACTACCCTTCTCTTGCCATTCATTTAGGTCTTCTAACCTCATTAATCACATTCACCCTTCCCTTCTATGTAAACACCCAAAACTTCTATGACAATGGATGAGAGATTGTAGGATTTAGTAAATCCGATTTTAATAAATCCTGAAATCCTATGAAACTATGAAACTGTTTGATGGTTTCTGCTATAATTTAAAAATCTATTATGCTTGCTATTTTAACAACAAATCAGAGCACGATTTAGTAAATTATGTAAATTCAGTTTTTTTAAAATATTTCAAAGGAGCCAAAATATGCTAGCTTCTTAAATTCAATTAATATTTTATTTTAAATTATGATAATTAATAATTATATATATGTTAAACTGATTAATTTTTAATAAAATTTTTATTAAATTAATTATTAAATAAAAGTTTGACATTTAAAAAATAATAATTAATTTGTTAGTAATTATATTAATTAATAATTTCTTATAAATTTATTGAGTAAATGAAAAATTAATCTTTATTTTTTATTAATTGATAATCAAATAATAAATATGAATTTATTTAACAATAATTAATCTGATAATTTTTAATTAGGTATTAATTATTAATAACTTAACTAATAAAATTAAGTTAAATAAAATTAATCCACAAATGTAAACCCTCGCTTACAGAACTACTCTCTCCGCGAAGAAAAAATATTACCTCAAAAGTACTGATGCATCAGTACTCCAATGAGGGGGTGCCACGTAAGCAATAGTGGTGCCTACATGACACCCCCTCATTGGGTTAAATAAAATTAATCCACAAATGTAAACCCTCGCTTACAGAACTACTCTCTCCGCGAAACCCTCGCATGTCCCTCCTCTTCTCTCCGTTTCGTCGAAGGTCGTCGAAAACCATCGCCTTCGTCCCCGAGCCCATTCGATAGTCGCAATTGGAGCAAAAGCAACAACGGGTTCGCGGCTTCCAGAGATCCGAAACTTCCATTTTTCTCCTCCCTCCGCTCCTCTCCTACCCGAAACCATCGAGGAAGGTAACTTCACATCGTCTTTTTTGCGCGAAGCGTACTGGATTTACTAAATCTACCGATTCAGGGGATTTAGTAAATCCGGGATTTATGGCCGAAATCCGTGAAATCCGGATTTATGGCCTTATTTTGTTCTAAATGACCGTCTGGCAATATTTAGCTTAAATGCAGCTTAAAACCTGCTTTAAATCCGTTACCAGAGGCTCTTAAGTGATTTGGTGAGGGGAGGTTATTAAAAAAAATAAAGGAATTTGTTATATTTTGAGAAATTCCAATTGTGTTAACTTGTGATCTTCGTAGGAAATTGAAGATAACAGGTCACCAAAATACAAGAATTTAACAATCTACGTCTCTTTTATTTGTTTTTTGGGGAAATATGAGGGCCACAACCAGCTTTATTGAAAAAAGAATGAAAACAGGGATAAAACCACAAATACAACACAACACAAAACCTTATAAACCCTAAAAGAAACAACACGGAGAATAGAAGAAAAAAGAGAATAACAAACACCAACTTTTACAGAGCACCACAGAGAAAAGAACTCTCCCTCCAACAATATCATCAAGAAGCATCCAAGGAATGAACTCTTCAGAGAGCTACAACTCCATTTAACCAAAAGGCTGAGCCGCCATCAAACAGACCATCTCCATGGATCCATCAATGAAAAAGGACACCACGTACAACAACTCTATGAGCAATATCTCCAAAGAACAACCAATGAAAGGAGCTCCCCAATAAGCAGCGACCACACTCTTAAATGATCATGCAAAGTAGATAGCTTCCACGGAACAAGAACATAGCAACCTCTCAATAGAATCAACAATGAAAAGAGCTCCCATCTAACGGCGACCGCGCCTGAGAACAAACAAGAAAAACTCTCCAAACAATAACTACACATCCAACAACAAACAACAATCTCCAGGGTACAAAATATAAACCCATGGAAACGCCGAAAGAAATAAAAAAAAAGAATGAGCTCAGCCAAACCAACTTCCAATCTCAAAGGAACCATCCAAATTTAAAGAAAATAAATTCTTGTTTTAAAGGAATAAACAATCTAATATATAGAAAAAACACCAAATCTCACAAATGATGCTAGATAAGATCAAATAAACTGCAGACCAACCTCAAGAAAGCATATCATACAATTAGGAAAAAGGGACTCAAATACATAAAATAAAATTCATTAAAAGGTAGAGAACAAACAGCTGAGCTTAATGAATCAAACAATGTAGAAGAGTAAACCAGGAAAAAAATTTAAAGAATGGTTAATACTAATACTCTAAGAGAGGATATGATATATAATAGCTCAAACCAAAAAACAGCCCCATAAGCAAAGAAAAAGAGTAGTATCGATAATCTCTGTAAAATATCCAACAAAAAGTAAAAACGAAGAGAAGGAAAACTACATCAGAACAAAAGAAAAAAGAACAAGGAAAAACAAAAAACTACAAGAACCAAAACAAAACACTCAGAAACCAAAAGGAACTGCTAGATTCAACAGATAGCATACCCAGAACAGAACAACAACAACGAAGCCAAACACAATAAATCCACAATACCAAAAACAGGAAGATTCAATTCAAATAGATATCAAAACCTCTCAAAACACAAAACTTAAAGAGTATAAAAATTAAAGATACAAATTTTTCATTTTAATTTCACTGCTTTGTTTGACGCATTAAAATGTTCATGTCGGATGTTTGCCTTGCAATGTCTGGAACGTTGGTAATAATTTCAAAATTTTCTAGAGTTGTGAGCTATTTTCAAAATAAAATACACGGATACATGAACAGTATAAATTTTCTGAATTTGAGTATATTTCAGATGCTCTCTAATTTTTATGAATTGAAAGCATGCATCTACTGACGTGCTGTTCTTTATTAGAAAGCAACAAGATGATATTTCTCTGCACCTGAGCTGAATTAATTTTTATGATATGGCAGTGATATTCAACAATGTCTTCAAAAAAGCATTACAAGGAAAAAGTTTCACGAAAGAAGTAAGTTGTACACTCAGCCTCTGTTTTCACTCTATTCCTTATACTTGTCACTGTTTTAAAATGACATTTTGTTGGTTTTAGAGTTTTATAGGTATCACAACTTATGCTATTGTTTCTCTGATTGCAAAAATGCTGTTATTGTCATCTGAAATATTGTAATTCAGGTTCTTTGGTCCACCTTTATATTCATTTCTCTTTAAATCTACATGTGGTTTCACATCTAGCGTAGCTAGTTTCTATCTTTGAATAATTTTTACCATTCTAAGTCCATGTATCTTTTTAGAAAACCTTTCACTTTAATCTTATCCTCTCATTTTGAAATTTTTCATCTTCTATCCATATACCTGGGTCACATCAGCCTTTTTTTTTTCTTTTGCTTTATTGTATGTTACCATGACATTCTCCATAAGGCTATGTTCATTTATGTTATAAGCAGCCAATGCATGATATGCTCTTATCACAAAAAACCACTGAGGTGTCATATACTTTTTCATATTAACAACTTTATTCAATTCTAGTTATAACTTACTCAATAATCCTCATGTTTTGCTTATATTTTTTTTTGTCCATTTTCACTTACATATCCCAAATTATTGCACATTAAATCCTCATTTTTTTTGCTTCTCTAATTTTGAGTTCCTTACGTTTATGTTTCTCCATTATTTAAATTTGCATTGAAAATAAAATTTTATTTACACCATAATTCAAATAATTTTGGTCTTTTTTGCAGTATAAAAGTTATAAAAGAGGAAGCATATTTTAAAATATAAGGGTTTTAGCATTAGTAAAAGAAAGGTTGAGTACAACATACTATTTTAGAGGAAGCGGCAGTAATAATCATTAGCAGTGACGTTGGAGGATCAATTGAAATAAAAGTGCAATAGCTTTTGCTATCTTGGTTCCATTCTATTATAGATTGAGATATAAGTGAGGATAATTTGTAAAGTTAAACTTGGATGTTTAGATAAAGAGGTACCTTATATGCATTTAGGAAAGGGCATGCACTAGAAATAATTTGTGAGTTAAACTTGAGCTATGCTATGCACATCTTCAATTTCTTTGAAAACACTTGTCTTTCTGGCAAAGTATGTTGTCCCAAGCAATATTGGGAATTCAATATAGATAGATCCAATTAAAAGTGATTTTAGTGAGGTGTTGGGCCGGTAGATATTTAGGGGCATTTACAAAGAAGAGTGAATAATGCATCATTAGGGCTGAGAGAAAAAAAAACTAACGTGGAAGTACTATGAAGGAAAATTGGTTGGAGAAGGTAACTCGGCTAGAAGCCGTGAGAAAAAAAAACTAGCATAAACTAGAGTTTCACACCAAAGGCAATGCTTAATATGGCTTACTGTAGTTTAATAAAGATTTTTAAAGCATGCTTCAAATGGAGTAGATAAGGATCTACCCTAATGATTTTACACCGTTTTATCTTATTTTTTTGTAGATCTTTTAATTTGATTTGGTGTTACTTGTAATTTATGAAGCTTGGGTTCTTTTCGAAGCTACTTGCATTTGTGCTTGAAATGTGTTATTTTATGGCACACCTTGAACATGGTTTGACTTGTTTGATAAATTGTTACAAAATTTTCATGTTTTTTCATCAAATGAAGACAAATGGAACACGGCTAGGACTGGTCTCCAACAAATTCAGAATACCCCTTGAACAACTCCTTATACATGTGACATAATATCTAGTAGAAATCTTTAATTTCTTGTGCTAAATTTTTGTCCTCCGTCAGATGTGTGCCTACAATATAATATGATAGTATTATAACATGCTCCCTATCTTTTTTGTTATTTGTCATATGCAATTGAATTTCTGGTCATTTAATTAAGGAAGTATTATGAAAATAATGTTACTTATGATTGCATATTTTCATAGTCTAAGTTTGCCGTATGGTTTTACCCAGAAATATTGCTATTATATGTATTTTAATGCATCACATGCGTTTAACATACAAAATGATCTTCTGGCACTGCCTTCATGTTTTTTTTGGATGCACTGGACTCATCCATGTTTATGCTTCATATAATTAAACAGATGAATAGTCATTTTGTTACCGGAACAAGGTGCCAACTTTCATCTTTGCCTTTATCTAGTACGCCAATTTGTTTCTTGTTGAGTTTATTTGTCAACAAGATAAAATATAAGTTAATTGATGAATTATCACTATCTCAACAAGATAAAATATAAGTTAATTGATGAATTATTACTATATATTTAGATGTGTCATGGCCCTATTCATGTAAATCCATCATTTTTTTCATGAAAAATTATCTTTCTCGCTTAAACATTTTTTTTCATGATTTTGTCAGCACTAGTTACCATTAATCATCCTCCTCATCATCAAGGTTAGGTAAAAGCTGGCCTATCGTTATTTTACTCCATTGGGGTAACAGTATTCATTCTATAAACTGAACGAGTGAAAATCTGGATCACATTATGTCAATGGCTCAATGCTTACCAATAACGCATTTCCTATTATAAAACGTATATTGATTAGCACGTGTGCTCAGTTCAAGTTTGCGTTTATCTGCTTGTATTTATTAGTTTCCAGCCCATTTAATTTCATTCTTGGTCTGCTATTTGTTATTTATTTAATATGTACAAAATTTCTTCGTTGTTTAACAGAGAGGAAAAGCAAGAACTACCTGAGGCACCAAAATATCGAGATCGTGCTAAGGAACGCAGAGAAGATCAAAATCCTGATTATGAGCCCACGGAGTTGGGTTCATTTCATGCCGTAGCTCCTCCTGGGACAGTTGATTTAAGGTCAGTATCATATCTCAAGTTTAAACAGAAAGTTTGATGACAAACCTCATTTTAATTGTTCAGATTCATTCACCTCTTGAAAATGAGGCTTATCTGTTAGCTTCTGCTGATTTATCTTTGCAGAGTTGCTGATGCACATAAGATATCTATTGAGAATAGCAAGTATCTTGGAGGTTTGTACACATGATCTCTTGCTTAGTTCTTTGAAGTACACACATTTGTCTGATTAATTCCTGATATGTTGTATGATTTGGTAATTTGTTGAAGGAACATACCATATTTTGGATTTTATTGGGAACTGATTTTCTGTGTTAGGTTGGATAAAACTAATTTGCACTACCTTCACTGGTGCATGATAATGGAGATTAACATTAAAGCTGGTGGTTCTGTAAATAAATGCCTTGTGCCTTGTGCCTTGTGCTAGCAAGGCAACTAAGCGGCGAATACCATGCTATCCTTGCCTGAAATGTAAATGGACGGTACTCATGGGCCGAGGCACCGCAAATATATTTTGGTTTTTATCTTTAGAAATTTTTATAGTGTGATATTATCTACATTGTGTTAAGGACTTGAAACGTTTATATTTTATTGTCAAGGTAGTCATGAATTCTTTTGTTGTGCTATATATGAACTTTCATATGAAGTTTACATTGTTTTGTATTGGTTTTGGAGCTTATTCAGAATATTGAGGTGACTTGATACATATTGTTTATTGATGACATACTTATGATCAATGAGACACCCATTGTAATGAATGCATAATCAAAATGATGGAGAGAGTTCTTAGAATATAAATGATAGCGTTAGTAGAACAAAGATTGAATATATGAAATACAGTATTAATGGATGTAATATTAACAATTATCTATGAAATTACTAGAAATTAAGTAATGTGGAGGTGTGTTAGTTTTAGGTATTTTTGATGCATTATACAAAAAGAATTGAGATATAAATGTGGATATATATTTTTTTTTGTGTTAAGGCTAAGTGGTTAAAATAGAAAAGTGTCCTATAGTATATGCGATAAGGGGATTATGGAGAAACGAAGGAAAATTTTATTGAACCGTAATTAGGTCGATGATGCATGGATCTAAATGTTCGTTTGGAAAATATTCATAAGTTGAGCATGAGAAAAATAAGAAATTTTAAATGAATGTGTGCAAATTTATGAATGATAAATTATGAAATGATTATATATTAGATGACAATTGGAATGACATCTATTTAAAATGGGGTGATTGAAAATAGACTTGGATGGTTTGGCTATGGGTAATGAAGGATAAAAGGTACACCCATTAGATGAGTAGATGAAATTAGTTTTATGGGGTTAAGAAGGATAAGAGATATACTTTTCATGACGTAGAAGTTGTTTAAAATGATTTGCAAAGATTATGTTTAACAACATGCACATCTTTCAACATGATTGGATGCAAAATTAGGATTCATATTGATGACCTTAACCAGATTGGATAAGACTGATGATGACGATGTGATTAGAACAATTGATGCTTTGTCTGAATGGTTTTCTATTCCATTTACCAACTTCTTAATTTTTTTTAGCTATTAACCTTGTTGATATACTGATCCATAGCTTATTTTTTTCCCTCAATCCACTAAAGCTCCTTTAGGTTTCGAGGCATTGTTAGTATGATGAAGTGGGTTACTATATTTTATGGAGAAGAATTCAACTAACTATGTTGTCTCTCTAATTCACCATATTTTTCTTACCTTATCCCCTTTTATTAGGTTTTTAAGGTGACATTAATATAATGGGCATGAGCGTGATTTCCCTAGGGCATAGTGCCAAATATCAAGTGCACAGACGTGTATTTATTGACAACATGAGTTATTACAAGTTAATTGCACTTTTGAATCATGAGTGCTTCCCGTTATTATTGCAAATTCAACATTTCCATGATGGTATGCTCATTTATTTGCCTAATTTTTCTGTGCGGACTCCTGACGTAGCTTTACGTGCCGCGGAGGTTATTTCTGGGTTATTTTCAATAATCCAGAAATAACCCGTGGTCTTTATTTTTGGGTTATTTCTGGGTTATTTCGGGGTTATTTCGGGATTATTGAATTTCGGGATTATTGAAAATAACCCAGAAAATAACTCAGGAATAACCTCCGCGGCACGTAGAGCTACGTCAGGAGTCCGAACAGAAAATGCGCTCCATTTATTTTAAGTTATGTAGGAAAAAAGGCTGTTTTTATTGATATCTCTAGTGATCTAAACTCAAGGCTTGGGCAATCTCTTTGGTTCAGGTTTATTTGTTGGGAATCTCGGTTTCATTCTCTCTCTCTCTCTCTCTCTCTCTCTCTCTCTCTTGTGTGATAGATAGATAAAAATGATCCATATGTGGAACAATTATTTGCAAAAGTGGGCTAGCTTTAAGTGTGTTTGGCATCAACTAGAATGACATTAAAGAAGTAATCTAGCAAGTGGTTGGCAAAGTAATTTAAATAAAGAGAAAAAGTGTTGCTATAGAAACAACACACCATCCTTACCTTAATCGATGACGAGTTATTGATGGTGGTTTGCTTGATACACATTTCAGTGGCATTTGTATTGGAACATTTACCTTGCCAAGGTAAGACTGCAAGTTGGAATATTGTCAATCATTTTAATTCATGGACTGGTTGGTTTGGAAATAGGCCGTTCAGAATCAGTTTAGATTTCCTTGGATTTATGGTTCATGTCCAAAACCTTTTAAGTAGTTCTAGGCCGTTCAGAATCAGTTTAGATTTCCTTGGATTATTCATGATCTCCTTGGAAATGGTTCATGTCCAAAACCTTTTAAGTAGTTCGGAGAAAGTTCTTGGGTGTTTGTGAGTGTGTCACTTGCTTATATTTTAGGATTTTGGGATTAGTTCTTCCCAACCTAACTACCGAATAGAATAATTGAAATCTCAGAATGCTTCCAAAGTCCCTGGTTACTCTACCAAGTCGCTCAATATAGTGATAAATGGCCCAATTTGAATGATTAGGATTTTATGCAATGCAGATTAACAACTCGCTCAGAATTGATGCTTGATATATTATACAAACTTAAAAAAATGTTACTATAATAAAGTTCTAGCCTCTTTAGAAACTCTCTCTTTAGTCTCCTCTAATCAGTGCTTCTGACTTTTCCTTCTTAAATTTCTGCCTACCTTTGCTATTCTATGATTTTATCTTTTAATAGTGAGGCAGTTAACTGATTTTAGCAAAATAGAGATCAAAAGACAGCTGAGCACTTGGTTTCTTTGCTGGATCTGATATCAGAAAATGGAGACAGGTGGGGAAGCAAAAAATTCTTAAATCTTCGATTATGCAGGCAAAATAAGATAATTCCTCAATGCTAACAAGGGATTACAAAATCCCTTAATTTTCTCGTTATGGATTGACCACCCCTTCCAGTAGTGGATTTGGTGTTGCAAATTGATCAAAATCATCTAGGAACTAGTAAAAATTTTAAGAATCCTTACAATCAATTTTAAATGATCTTAACTATCCAGAAAATTTTGGAGAATGGAAGCCTTAAAAAAATTTAAATTAGATTCTAATTTTGCTCCTAAACTGATGTCATTATTTTTGACTTGCAGTTGAAAAAAAAAATCTTCGACTTGAAGTTGGTTTTTGTTTATGTTTGATATATATTGTGATTTCTTAGTGGTAAAAAATGGTTGGTATGATATTCACTTAATATATTTTATTTTGCACGTTTACAGGAGACATTGAACACACTCATTTGGTCAAAGGCTTGGATTATGCTTTACTTAACAAAGTTAGGAGTGAAATGGACAAGAAAGCAGATGATGAAGATGGAAATGATGGCAATTCAAGGTTAGAGTTTTCAACTGATCTTCATTCTTAATTTTCTTAAGCAATTCGAGCTTGTTTTCTTGATGGTCTGAACAATATATATATATATATATATATATATACACACACCTGAACATTTGCTTGCATTGGATTTTTAATATGTGTTTGTTACCCCCTATTTTGCAATTTTGTCATGTTTATTTGTATATATTTATTTAAGATTTTGGTGAAAAGTAAATTTAGTATTCGTTAGCTTTACAATTTTGTTATTCTGCTCTTTTTTGTGTTTATTTTTCCGTCCACACAAGCTGTGAACCATATCCTTTTTAAGGTAGGATTGGTGTCCAAGAAGTTGTTAGTGGATTTGGATTTTTTCATTAGGTGCTGTAGTGTGCAAAGGTGCGTCACTGTCACACCTATTCATGGTTGGTGGCTAGATTTTCCAACCAAACCACCCAAGGCATTGAAAATCTTACAGATTTCCCATAATCTCATTGGGTATTTCTTCCAAGTGGATGTTCTAGGATTTAGGAGGAAAAGAGTGGATGTTCTAGGATTTAGGCCAAGGCAATGAACTAGTGTTTAAATTATTATATGGGAGAAAAATATCTTAGAGAGTTCTATACTATAATATAAACTAAAATTGGAAGAGCATTGCACATATAAAACTAGAGTTTTGGTCGGAAAAATCTCCAAACTTCTTCTACATAGAACTCTTTTTCTTTCTTTTTGATCTTTTTCTTACAAGTATATCTAATTCTTCATTGATATTTCCCAAATCAAGTAATGTATCATATTTTTCTTGCTTATAGGAGGTGCATAACAACGAAAACTTTGATTTTCTTCCTTGAATGCGTGCTTCTATTGCTGATGGAGAAGAAAAACAGCTCCACTGTTGCAGATTTTCCATTATAGGTGAGGCGTACTCATGTTGGTGCTTGATCTTGGAGATCATAGGCTGACGGAAAAATCTGAGAGGTTGTGGCTCCTCTTTTTAGAAAGAATAGGAGAATGTAAGTTTTTGGCAAAAAAAATAAAGGGGGAAGTACAGGTTGACTACTAGAGAAATTGGAAGAAATAATTTAAATTGTAAATTTGATTCAAGCTAAAATTAGTTGAATTAGAAAGCACCCTACTAGTTTTCTATTTATAGGAGTGGTATAGAGAGCAAGCATGAAATGAGTATCGGCCTAGTAGTTCATATCTCATCTCCCAAACATGAGGTTATGGGTTCAACTCACTCTCTTCACTACCCCCTAGGAAAAATATTGAGGGATGCATTTTGTTTGAATCTCATAATAAGGATTTATTCTTTTTGTAATTTTTCTTAATATCGTTTACTGGAAACCAAATTATAAAAGTTAGATTTCTATTGAAAAAAAATAATCAAACGTCAAAATAACTTTTATTTCTAAATTTAAACCACCAATAAAGCAAATTATACAAGTTAGATTTCTATTGAAAAAATAATAATCAAATGTTAAAATAACTTTTATTTCTAAATTCAAACCACTATTCATATATTAAATGCATGAAATGTGGAAATAACTTCCATATTACATGGAAACCAAATTAGATAATAATGAAAATCTACTAAGTTTCCTAAATTTATGGATTAACTATATTTTTTCTTAATGGCTAACGATTGCTTAAATGTCGGCAAAGATTTGCGGGCAAAGACGTTAGTTCATGAAACACATATTAGTAGAAGATTTTGGAATATAAGTACTCTCACAGGTAAATTAATGAAATTAGTTGATATTATAGTTCATAGGAAGATTAATATTTTATGCATTCAAGAAACTAAATGGAATGGAGAATCTGAGAAGATTGATAGCTTAGGTTTTGAACTTTGATATTCTAGTAAGAGTCATACTAGAAATGGTATAGGTGTAATTATAGAAAAGAGCTTGTAAGATAATATTATAAAACTTAATAAAATTAGAGATATATTTATTGCCCTAAATATTATATTTTATATTAAGATTTTTAATGTTATGAGTGCTTATGCTCCTCATGTAGGTTAAGATATAGGTTCAAAAGATTAATTTTGAATGACCTAGAAGAATTAATAGAAATGATACCTCTTGAAGAAAGAATTTTTATTGGAGGGGATTTAAATGAACATGTTGGTAGAGTGGTGAATAATGTTAGAAATATTCACGATGACCACAGTTTTGGAGTAATAATAAAGAATGTAGAACCATATTAGATTTTGCTTTAACGTATGATTTTTTTACTGTTAATACATTTTTTAAGAAAAAAGATGAACATCTTATTACTTATAAGAATAGACCAAATAAAACACAAATTGATTATTTTCTTATAATAAAAAATAGATCTCGTCGAGAGTGTAAAATTTGTAAGGTCATTCCAAGTAAAAATTTAAGTGCTCAACTTAGATTATTAGTTCTAAATTTTAAGATGAAAAATTGCAAGATGAAGAATACTAGAAAATATTTTCATAGAATTAGATGAGGTGACTTAAATGACATAAAATTATTTTTATGAGTAAAATTCAAGATTTTAAGATTTGAAATGTTCATAAAGAAGTGAATTTTATGTGAGATAAAATAACAAATATTATTAAATGAGCGACAAAAGATGTACTTGGAGAGTCAAAAGGAATAATTTTTTTAAATAAAAATAGTTGGTGGCGGAATAATAATATGCAAGAATGATAAATATAAGAAGTTTTGTGATAAAAAAATTAGTTTAAATGTAAATGCTTAGAGAACTAAAAAAAATATAAGGTGACCCGTAATTCAAGTAAAGTTTATTAAAGATGAACATCAAAAAGTAATTTTCTTAGATGAAGATATTTAACATAGGCGCTATAACTATTTTCATAAACTTTTTAATGAAATTTCTGAAAATACGATATTGTAATATTAATATCGTTAATAATAATAAAACATTTTATTTTGACCTTCATATTAGTAAAAAAAAAGTTGAAGCTTTAACAAAAAAAAAGGATGGAAAATCAGTAGGACCTAATGATATATGATATCCCAATTGAATTGTGCCAATTGAATTGTGAAAATATTTAGGAGATTTGAGAGTTTTTTGGCTTACTAAACTCTTTAATATTATTTTAAAAACTAGAAAGGTACTTAAAGTCCCATTTTTAAGAATAAAAGGGATGCACAAGAGTTTGCAAATTCTAGAGGAGTTAAGTTGATGTGCCATACTTTAAAATTATTGGAAAAGGTAATTGAACATTGGTTAAGACGTGATACAAGGATTTCTCATAATCAGTTTGGATTTATGCCGGGGGGTCAACTATGGAAGCTATTCATTTATTGAGAGTTTGATGGAGAAATACAGAGAGAATAAGGAGTATCTAAATATTAATATTTTTTGTTTTAGAAAAAGCTTACGATAAGGTTACAAGAGAAGTTCTTCAGAGAGTTCTAGAGAGGAAAGGTGTTGATATGACTTATATCCAAGTGATTAAAGATATGTATACTAAAGTTGTTACCTGTGTTTGAACAAAAGGAGAATTGAACAAGTATTTTCCTGTTTCAGTTTGATCACATTAGAGTTTGGCTTTAAGCTCATATCTTTTTTCTTTAGTTATGGAAACTCTTGTTTTCAAACTTTTAATTTTTGTGGGTTGATTAATTTTCAAAAGAGTGTTGTTTTGTTGTTTCTTTGTTTGCTTTTCGAATAAGCCTAGAAAAAGTGTCAAGGAAAAGCTTGAATTATGGAGGTCTAAATCTTGAATTATGGAGGTCTAAATTGAGGTCTAAATTGGAGTCTAAAAGCCTTTGTTTGAGTAGATCTAAAATTGAATATATGAAATGTAATTTTAGTAGTATTAGCTATAATGGGAGAGTTGTAACATGGGTGATCAAATCATTAAAAAGTGTGATCGTTTTAGATATCTTGGGTCTATAGTTCAAAGTGATTGTGACATAGATGGAGATGTTATTAGTAGAATTTAAGTTGGGTTGGTTGAAGTGGAGGAGTGCATCGGGCCTACTGTGTGATAGAAAAGTACCGCGTAGAATGAAAGGAAAATTTTATAAGATGGTGGTGAGAACTGCAATGCTCTATGGCGCAGAATGTTGGCCTTTAAAAGAGAAGCATAAAACAAAGTTAAGTGTTGCTGAGATGAGAATGCTTAGGTAGATGAGTGGCTTGACACTTAGAGACAAAATGCAAAATGATTATATCTGTGATAGGGTTGGTGTAGCTCCATTGGCGAACAAGATTGGAGAGAGTCGTCTTAGATGGTTTGGTCAAATTAATCGTCGACTATCTGATGATCCTGTTAGGAGAGCAAATGTTTAAGATTCGACTTATATTATGAAAACCAGAGGAAGTACTCCTCTTCTGCAGCTTTAGCTAAGTAAGGAAAAGGCCATCCATCTCCTGCTGCTTTAGCTTGAACAAAGGAAGTACTGCTCTTTAGCCCGTTAAGACTTTTTAAGTAGACCTAAAAAGACTTGAGCTTATTGTATAAAAAATGATCTTAATATATTATAATTAAATGAAAATATGACAATATAACGCAATGGAGAAAAGGATTCATGTAGCCTGACAACTTTTGAGAAAATATGTTGAATGCATTTTTCCTTTGCTTTCATTCCAATAAATAATAGTTGTACAATCTTTTTTAGGTAGCCTAATAATATATAATAATGTGTACAATCTTTTTTGGGTAGCTTAATAATATATATTTCTAATCTAAATATTCAACTATAAGGAAAAAATATGTACAATTAAAATAAGAGATTTAATGCAGCAATTTAAAGAAGCAAACTTTTAATTTTGCCCGATTTCAATTATTCTTGATTGATATCCCTTCTCAAATTGTTGCTGATTGATGAAGAAGCATCAATTTGTCAACAAGAAACTTATAATGCTGCTGAGAGAGAGCCTTAGTAAATATATCATTCGTTTGAAGATTAGATGAGATATGAGAAAGAGAAATAACACCATTATCATAAGCTTTTTGAACAAAATGACAGTCCACTTTCAATATGTTTTGTGCGATCATGAAAGACATGATTAGCAGTAATCTGGATAGCACTAGTATTATCTGCATAAAGAGAAATAAACTTAAGTTGAGGAAAACCAAGCTCAACCAACAAACCCTGAAGCGAAGTGGTCTCAGAACAAGCAGAGCATATTTCATGATATTCAAACTCAATAGATGACTTAGAAACTCGAACTTGTTTCTTACTCTTCCAAGAAATTAAAGAGTTGCCGAGAAACATACACTAGCTAGTAATAGTTCAATGTGTATCATAACAACCAACCCAATCAGCATCACTATAGGTTGTTAAACGAATAGGAGATTCCGCAGAAAAAATAAGCCACGATGAAAAATATCTTTCAAATACTTAATGATACGTCAAACTACAACTAAATGAAGATGTGTTGGTGCTTGCATGACTTGACTAACTTGTTGCACGACAAATGAAATATCAGGACGTGTGATGGTTAGATAATTGAGACTCCCAATAAATTGTTGATACAGAGATGAATCAGATAGGAAGTCATCATCATTCTGTTGATATTTAACATTCACCTCCAAAGGAGTATCAGCAAGACTACCGTCTTGGAGCCCAACCAAAGCAATGAGTTCCTTAGTATAGTTATGCCGATGAAGAAAAATACCAGCGGGAGAAGAGAACCTTGAAGACGCTTTTGTGACTGAGACATCAATTGAGTATCAGATCCTGTGATGACAATATCATTAACATAGACTAATAACAACACAATTCTCTTGTCAGCCTTGCGAAGAAATAATGACGAATCATACTGACTTTGAATAAAAGAGTTGATAAGAAGAGAATTGCGAAACTTTTTAAATCAGGCCCGTAGAGCATGTTTCAAACCGTATAGAGATTGTTTGAGCTTACAAACATCATGTGATGGTGTAGGAAACAAGCCTGGAGGAGGAGTCTTATAGATATCTTCCTTTAGCTCTCCATGCAAAAATGCATTCTTAACGTCCATCTGTCGTAAGGACCTACTTTTAGATGCAGCAATAGATAGAACAAGTCGAACAATTGCCATTTTAGCCACAGGTGCAAAGGTCTCTTCATAATCAATTCCATATTTCTGTCGATTGCTAAGAACTATCAATCTTACCTTATATTTGTCAAGGGAGTCATTAAATTGGAGCTTAAGAGAATAAACCCATTTACAACGAATGGATTTAACGCCTGCAGGACTTGAAACAATATCCCAAGTGTGATTGTCTTGAAGTGCCTGAAATTTCTCTTGCATAATTTTTATCCAACAACTCTCTTTAGCAGCTTGAGAATAGGATGTAGGAACTATAGTATTGGTTAAAATCACAGAATAGCCTTATCTATTCAAAGGATGAATGTGCTGAGTTGATGTTGAATCATTGGAACATTTTCAGAAGTAGGGTCGGGAAGGACTGGAGATGAAGGGGCCACGTCGTGTGTAAACAAGGCTAGGCTTGAATCATTTTTCCTTAATGTGCAGAACTCTTTCATGCTTCGCTGCAGTTATGTATTTGTTGAACTTTTCTTTACAAACCTCACAGTTTCTGTGGTAACCCACAATGGGCCTGCTTAGATAAAAATGCATTTCATGAAAACTTCAGGTATTTGTATTTAAACTCATCCTTGTAAAAATGTCATTTGATTTTGTATCCATGGAAAGATTATCTGGCGGATTATTTTTTTCACATAAATCCCCCATATTTGTGAGATTCTCAGTTGGACATCTAAGCATTCAGATTACTTTTCCATGAGTTTTCTCTTCCACATTGGTTAATGGAATTGCTTGAAGATTCTAATTTAATAGCTTATGATCCCTATTGAAATAACTCTATATCCCTGGATTTATTTTCCTCGTGGGTGTGGTATGAATCTTTTGGCTGCGAGACGCACCATTAACTTGAGATATTATTCTTTTTAATATGTTTCTGATAGTTCATCCTATTTAACAGAGTATCTAAAGATGATCAGCCAGTTACTTTTCGTACAGCAACTGCTAAGGTGGACATTCCTTTTAAGCTAACTTTAATTTCCTTTACAATCTGTTTTGGGTTCCTGAATAACTGTCGTGATACAGTCAGTATACCAGTGGATTGTAAAGCCACAAACCATAAACAAAGCAAATGAGATGTTCCTTCCAGGCCGGATGACTTTTATTTACAATATGGTAAAGGCAGTCATTATCATGTTTTTTTGCTTTTCATCTGATTATTAAGTTGCTAAGTTAAATATTTTGTTTTACTTTTCATCTCCCTTGCAAATCATGTGGATTCTATATATATATATATATATGCATATATTATTGATCATAATTTTATAACTAGATAAGAAATGAGCAAATTAGAGGAAACTACAATGAAATTTTTTATTAAAATGTAAAAATCATAACACAATTTAATTACATGATGACAGAGTAGAAAGAATCATGTAAAGCTTTCACATGTAACGCTTGTCAGCCTAATGAATATTGGAGAATAATGACATTTTTTTTTCTCATTTCTACCCTTTATGGGGTATAGAAATTGAAATATACCATCAAGTTAGGCCTTAGTACTCTGTAAACTACCATTTGAATCAAAAAGCTGTTTCTGTTTGTTTAATAATGCAAGTTGTCTTAGGGTCCAAAGTTTTCTTAATGTAAACCTTGGATGTGATGCACAATTCCACCAAATTTTAAAAATTTGATCTCACCAACTCATACATAGCAATTGTCTTTTTTAATGTAAAACAGAAAACTTGCTTTAAATGATAATTTAAAGACCATCTAGCTCTAAAATTGCAACGTAATTTGAGATAAAAATAAAACTATGTAGCCGTATGCAATGTTAAAGTCAGATAGCTGTAGATGAAAAAGAAATGATAGAAGTTACTAAATAGAAGGTCCAGGCAACACACTGGTGTAAAAAAGCAACTTTCTTGGAAATTATTGCCCATATATACACCGTATTTTATGAATTGGCATCCAACAATACACATTTGAGAGGAATCTAAATTTCACTAAGGATGTTTATCATTTTTGTAGTTTCCTTTTATTTTTAAAAACATGATTGGTTAGTGCATTTTTACATACTTTATTTTTATTTTTAAAAATAAATCAACTTATTTTAAAATCTCTTAGAAAATCTTTAGTTATTTTGAGGGTTTTTATAAACAACTATTACTGCTGCAAGCAAAGCCTGCTGTCGTAATAATCTGACCATTGCTAGTAGCTGTCCTCTATCTGTCGTCAATTGTTGTTTGAACGTGCCTACTGTTGAGGTGATATAATATTTTTATATTTGATTACTTTTCATTCAAAGTAAATGAAATATAATATAAAATTATGAATTATTACGAAATATTTATCATTTGTTAGAAATATGAAGTTCTAAAAATAGTAATGCTGAATAACTCATTTATCCTTATACTATTTTCTATCTTAGCCACAATAGACCTAGTTGATCTAGCCATTTTTGCCTTGACATGGCCACCAGACTTTTATTGAACATAGTCAGTGTCTCCCACTTGTGGTAGCAGCTACCCAATCCCCACCTTTGTCTGCCTCTAAAATAAATAACCAAAATATTTTATTTTAATGTACCGAAAATTGGATGTTTCTTAAATCTTAAAATCTAGCTTAGAATTGCAAAGAACAAAAAACGGTTCCAATATTAATTTCGTCAAAACATTTAGTTTTTTTATCTTTGTTACACTATCACAATCTCGTGCATGATGAAACATAGAAATCAAATCGCAATCCACAATGCTGGGAACTTAAATAGAATGAATTAGATAAATTCTACATCTAGCTATGGCATGAAGTCATGAAGAGGAGCCCAATAAGATATAAGAAAAACAACCAACTATTAGCAACTTCACAAAAAGACGAGAATCACAAGGCACCAATACTTTGAACAATAATCAGCTTCAGTTAGGAGATTCTTTTTCTCAAGTACTATAGAAATTTGTTAATAATAGGAAATTGAACAATCAGTGGCATCCCAAAATGGAATTGCTTAATTTTGTGGTGTTGGTAGCCACACGCCAACAGATATTGACACCATGTCTTAGTGCCAAAATTGGGAGTAGAAGGAAGAAAGAGCAAAAAAAAATCTTCCAAATAACCAGCTGGAAATGACATTGGAATCATATATGTGCTGACAAAAAGAATTAGAAATAATTAAATTGGTGAATTTATGAGAAAGTGGCTGTCTAATTTCTCAACCTGCATAAGCCTTCAAAATTTCATCAAATTTGACCTCCTCGAAAGCATTTATTTCCGATGAGCAGTTGATATTCATTAAGCAATTTCAGCATGATTTCTGTGCTTCTGACAAAGTGATCTTTGAATTGTTTCACACTAAGATCATCTGAAATTGATCATCATTAATGAGCACGATCTTCTTATTTATAATAACTTCAAGAACAAGATGAATAAAGCTATTTGGTGTAGTACTAAATGTGAATTAATAAAAGAGAAATGGAAAGAGAGAAAACTCGAAACATTAGCAATAGTTTTATGAAAAAAAAAATCAAATGAGATATACTGAAGATTGAATTAATACTAGAACTTCTTAAAATTTTTAAGTTGAAAAGTGTCGAAATAACCCCTCCCAAAATTTGTTAGGAGGTCATTTTAATCTCAGTTTATAAAAATGCTAGTTTAGTCCTCAGTCAATTTTAATATGGGCTGAAATAGTCCTCTATTTCAGCCCAATTTAAAAAGTGTAAAGACTAATTTAACACTTTTATAGATTATGGGACTAAAATTATCCCTTGTAAATGGTCAAGAGACTGTTTTGGCACTTTACTCTTTTTTTATTTATAATGTCTGTGTATTTTATGATTTTCTCTCCTGTCTATCTTACAGTTAATTTTTTTAAAAGCTCTAATTTGAAATGCTTCATGATCCGAACATGCCCTTATCTTATTATTTTATTTGAATTCTATACATCCTCTATACATGCGAACAATAAACTTATAACATCCACGACTAACAGTTGTGAGTAGCCTTTGAAATCAGTTAAAGCATGAAAGTCATATGGTTGAAATAAAGAAAGCGGTGAAAATAATAAAATGTTAATACATACACTAAGGGAGATTAATATGATCTTCAACCATTTCCTAGAAGAAGAGTTGCTAAAGAAAATTGGAAGCAAAGAAACTGCCCAAATTTTATTTTGCTTATATGGAGGAATAACATCTTTAAAGAAAACTAACTCAAATAGCTTGAAGATCAGTCGTAATGAATTGAGTTTTTTTAGATTTGACTGGATAAGTGGAGTTCAAATTTCTTTGAGGAATTAATTGTGAAAAACTCATTGAAATGTTGACTCAATTTTAGTTCCTTCCAAAAGTTTTCTTTTTATGAATTAGTGAGTTATAAAAAAAAACAAAATCAATTTCAGTTTCATTTATAGTGATAACTGATAACCTTGTTAAAAAGTTTCACAAGGACTTAAATTACAAGATTTTCCAACTATTTTTTCAATATATGAAAAAATGGTCGGTGCAAACTCACATGCAGTGATAAATTCAATAATAGGCTCAGTTTTTATTAGAAGTTAAAGATTAAGATTCTATTACTAGTTTAAATTCATATATGATTTCATGCTATCAATTACAAATTTGGATTTTGAGTATTGCTCATTTTTAGTTTCAGGCTCATGAATGCATTATAAATAGATATGTTTTCCAATTCAAAAAGATTATATGATTATTCGTATTTTATTTGCAGACGAGCTTTTATATCTAATAGATTTTTTTATTTGCAGATGAATTGGGGAATAAAGCACCTTTTAAACAAAACATAGAAATAAAGCACCTTTTAAAACAAGGAAGCAAAGAAGATTGATTGGGGAATCCAATGATAGTTGACTAGAACCAAATTGCATTCTAAATAGAATGCCAAAAGCCCTTGTTTTCAGTGAATATAAACTTTCATATTTTCATCATTGGATCCCTTGGAAATCTTTTTAATTGTTTCATTCAAACTGTTGCTAAATTGTTGACTTAGGCCATCGGTAGTTGTTCATGTGGCATAACAATCATCTTATTTTGTTTCATTCAAAGTGTTGCTAAATTGTCGACTTAGGCCATTAGTAGTTGTTCATGTGGCATTATCTTCTGCCTCTCAATTAGATCATGAAGGTTCCTTTTCAAAGAATTGCCCATTTGACATTTTTGTTTGTTGGGGGGGTGGGGATTTGCCATCAAATTGAAGACAATTTACTTCACTCACTTTATTTATCTACTTTAAATCATTTTTTAGATTTTCTTTCTTCCTTTTTATCTATATATATTCTTTTTAATATAGGTACCACTTGGCAATAGTTTTGTACATTATTATGCAATCTTATGATAAATTTATAATTTGATTTTTGTTAGTAGTTCTAGTTATTTATGCTTTGCTTTATGTTATTTTTTTAGGTTTTTTGCATACAACAACAACAAGCCTTAATCCCATTACGTGGGGTCGGCTACATGAATCCTTTTTCTCCATTGCCTCCTATTTAGTGTCATATTTTCATTTAGTTCTAATAAATTAACATAATTTTTTATACAATAAGAAAACCTAGGAAGACTTGGGCTTATTGTATAAAAATTTATGTTAAGTTATTAGAACTAAATGAAAATATGACACTAAATAGGATGCAATGGAGAAAAACAGGGGTTAATGAGAGAGATTTTAGTTTATATTAAAATTCCAGTATTTCAGTTTTGATTTTCATCTTTGCATCTATTCGAGGTAGGGGAACCTTCACTTTGAAAGGAGCTCATGCTTTCTTGTATGAAATTTAAAATGACACCCAAAGGAAAATTGCAAAAAATGGAAGTTTTGATGCTGAAACAATTGTGTTATGGTATCATAGGGAAACAGAACGGAAAGGAGAAAAAAATGAGGGTAAAAAAAGAGGAAGGGGTAAGAAGAAAGCATTTAACTTGCAATGCTTTAGTACGTGTTCTTCTTGCACTGGGGGGCAGCAAGCAAAGCAGACAATTATGGTTATTTAGAAGAAGAGTGGATGGGATTCCATTTAGCTTTTAAAAGATTTGTATTATTATTATTGGGCAATTTTAGAGCATTTGTTGCTTTCTTTGTGACCTAGAATTAACTTACTCGTACAATGTAAACAATCTTTCTGCTTGTCGAGGCAAAAATGCATTTACCAATCCCTCATAGACTCTTGCTGCTTGAGATTTGTGTTACTGTTGATAGTCCCCTTTTCATTTATGCGGTTCTTATCAGAAGATTTAAACTTTACACTTAGCTTGATTTTAGTGCATGTGATAGTGATACATGTGCTCTTTTCATCTTCTGTTCACTGGGTTTAGGGTAGGCCCATTAAGTCATTGTTCTTAACTTCATCCTCCCAATGTACCTCATTTTATCCTATTCTGAACATTATTTGTTTTTATCTCCCTCTTTCATTTTTTACAATATGGAAGATATTCAAAAAATAGAGATAATACTACTAACGCTAATACCAATTGCAACATTTTACAAGAATGGTTGAGTATGCATAAAACGTTCTGCAAGTGTTGGGCTATATCTTTTCTTAAATATTCTTTTGCTGACACTAAAGTATTATATAATTAGTATTTAGCAAATTCTGAAGTTAATTTCTACATAAAGTTATGATTGTTGATTAAGAAAATTCATTCTTGTTTAAGACGGCTCAAGCCAAACTAAACCATTTGTTTTTGTAGGTATATGGGCATTTGGCACATTTGTTGTTTTGATCCATACTCAAGTTATTGTTGTAGAACTTATTTTGCTGAAATAACTAAGTAACGTGGAACATAATAGTCTACTTCTTGGCGGCCTTCCACCATTTTGAATATTTATTAGCATGCCTCACCCTATAGAGGGAAGAAGCTTGCTAGCTGATTAGATCTTTTGTATGACAAGTATTGAACAAGGAAACTATAGTGCACCTCGAAAACCTGTTAATGAGAAAATATATATTATTCATGCATATGGTACGCATTTCTGTGGATTTTGGGTGGTTTTGAAATGCTCCCATTCCAATTGTTGGGTCAATATTATTAATTTTAGTCCTTGTAGGACTTAAAACTCACTTTATATTTGGATTTAAATTGATCATATGTTATGGAAAGTAAATAGTATATCTTCAAAGGGTAAATATTGTGCAGTTCTCTTGTGTCGTTAAGTTCACATTTTTTGAAAACTTTCAACTTGGTCCTTGGCCCTTTTAGAGATTTTTCTTGGCCCCCCATTTAGTTTTTAGTCCGTAAATGTCTACTTTTACAAAGACATTAAAAACATGGACCTGTATCAATGTCTTTTTTTTCCTCAGTTGATGCCTATATTAATGTCATAACCCACGTGCAAAATAACTCAAATGTTGGGGGACCAAAGCGGAGGATTTTTTTAAAACATGGACCTATATAAAGCATATCCCAAGTGTGAGGGACCTGCATGATATTTGCATCTTTTAAAAATAATTTAACCAATTTTTTCTATATCGAGCACTAAAACTTACAAATATATACATTTTTTTCTTAGCATTGCAGGATTTCTAATTTTCAAGCTATTTTGATGGTCAATCTCTTGGCCCTACATCCATGATTGACTTGAGGATTTACACTCTCCAGTTGGAAATGCATCCAGATGCCTTGTAGAAAGTGGAGGTTCACAGAGGACTTATCTCTTCTTAGAAGGAGATTAGTAGGAAGTGGAATTACCCTTGATTTTGTAGGGCTTGAGGCCTTGCAACTTATTGACAAAGTTGGCCGTGTCATAAATGAAAATAAAATAAGCTAAACCAAAGTTAAAGAAAAAAGAATTTGCAAGCCAGCAATTAAAAATAGCAGAATTGAAATAATACATGTGGTTCATTACCGGCAATCTTTTTGATCTTTGCATGATATCTGCGGTTTTCAATAACCTTGAATTATACGATTGCCATAAGCAACCTTGAAAAATTTTCCTGTAGAATTTTTATTGGTTTTTATTGTATATAATCATATATGAATTAGTAAGTTAATTTTTATGCTGCTGGCTATGCAGCCTTTGCTTTCAGATTGTTCCCACTGCAAAGGTCAAACTTTTCTTTCATCATTTTTCTTGAATATCTGGTTGATCTGCAATGCTATGAGCTAATCCTTGTGTAAATCGACTTTTTGTGCTTCTAATACTGATGATGATGCCGGTGATGATAATATTTCATTTCTTTAACTTGTGAATTTTCTTATTCTTATGTAATTATAATAGGAAGATAACTTTCATGATATACCTACTACTCTGCACAGAAGTAAAGCTGACTGTCCAGTTCCTGAGGTTTGTATATTCGAATTTCTCTGTGATATCACATTCATGTTGGAAACTTACTCAAATCAATCTAATGATATGATTATCAGGAAATGGTTACTGTTAGCGTGGATAGTTCTGTCCTTGAGCGAATTTCTAAAATCATGTCTTATCTCCGTCTTGGCTCGTCAGGAAAGGTTCTGAAGAAAAAGAAGAAAGATAAGGAAATGAAAGGTCGGTATTTCTTTTGCTAACCCAAAATGCTTTGAGAAATTTAAGGCTTTCGCAGTGTAGTCGAGTTTAATCTTCTATTTGACGTTGGAATTGTGTAATGGGCTTGACATCATCAGTGAAAGAAATAATTGGGTGTATTTTTTTTGTTAATTTGGAAGACATTACCAGGAGTGACACTAAAAATATTTTAAATGAAAGAAAATTTATCAAACTTCGAAACAAATATTATCGGTTAAAGGTTTGGTATAACTCTAGTGGCAGACAAGATTAGAGAAAATCGTTTTAGATGATTTGGTCACATTAGAGGTCGACTATCTGATGATTTAGTTCTTATAGTAGATGTTTATATTCGACTTATGTTTTAAGAAAAGTAGAGGTAGATCTAAAAAGCCATTGGCATGTTGTATAAAAAGTGATCTTAATTTATTCAAAATAAATGAAAATATGACACTCAATAGGACACAATGGAGAAAATGGATTCATGTAGCCGACCCCGCTTAATGGGATAAAGGCTTGTTATTGCTGTTATTGTTTTGGAAAAAAGTTATGAAGGACAACTTTTAATCCCTAATTTGATTGTCTGAATCCCAAGATGCTTAGTAATGATCATGCGAGTTAAGTGGCTAAACAATATTAAATTTATATGAATATTTTGGAATCTCGTTAAGTAAACTCGTTGTTAAAGCTCCGGTTAGTAATTATATAGAAATAATTTATTGAAAATCTTCTATGAAATGTATGGTGAAAAGTTGATGTAAGAAAATCTGCACTTATGTTTGGTTTAAACCCTTAACATTTCAGATTTTATGGATGAAACTTTGTGATGTATGTATCTAATGAATAAGGTCAACGTTTGTTGTTCAATCGCTGATGAAATCTTATTGGCCAATAACATGTGTAGAAGATGCTATTTATAGTTTGGTGAAACACATAAGATAAACTTAACAAGGTCTAAAGAGGCCTGTTCAAGAATTTCCTTGTCAATCAAAGACACGGATTCAGTTTTTCATCTGACGACTATTTTTATAACTGATAAATGCATGAGGGAAAATTCTTCCGTGTTTTTTGTGTTGGCTTCTTTTGCCATTTTATTAAAGTAAAACAAAAGTACACTATTTCATTATTGAGTTTATATTTTGCTATCTTGTTTAAATTTGTGCATCCTTGAAATCATCTGCCTGGCCCTTCCATGTGTACTACACGTTGTTTGATCTTTGCAATCTTTACAATCAGTTTCAGAGAGGAGGAATCTGTACTTCCATTTATGTGATTTTTTTTATCCATCATTAAGATGCTCTATTGTTTCTTTTCCAATTCTTAATTTTTTTTTTCATTTTTATTTCATTTATGGGGTTTTTACATACCTATCACCTAAAACATATCAATTTACATCCTTAACACCCAAATTTAAATATTTACATATTAACCACCCCAAACATCCCATTGCCCCGAAATAATCACTCTTCGTTACGCCTATCCCCTTGCCTCCATCTTCCGCAACATCGGCCTCAGAGTCATCCAAAGTTGTTGTCTATGGGTTGTCTTTGGCTTTGATTTTTCAAATGTTGCTTTTATATCGATTTTAAATGGTACAATTTCTTTTTTCCGTTTCCGGAGATTCACTTTAGGAGTGTTCAATGGCGAAACTTAATGTGAATGTTTATGCTTCCTATAGCTGAGAAGATTTGCATATTTTTCTTTTGGCATTTTTGGTATACCCGGAATTGGTTGTGGAAATATTCTTTTTGAGTCTTGTAAAATTTTAGATGCAGAGGTTGAGAAGAAAGAAAAACAGGAAATAGCATTAGTTGTGCAGCTTACTGGTATATATACTGTAGTGCTTGGGGTGATTACTTGAGATGGGTCCGCTTCTGCAGCCGACTTCAAGAATTGCTCTCAAAGCAAGCCTTGTCATACGCCTCTCTACCAAGTAAATGAATAAAAAGCGAAGATTTCAATAATCGAAGAAGACGAGCTGGGGGCGTCAATTGTGGATGACTCGGGCGGATGCTTTTATGATGACATTAATGACGGATGGGTTGAAGATGTAGGCGAGGGTAAGGTGTAACAGAGAGTGTTTGTTTTAGGGTAAGAGGATGTTTGGGGTGGTTAATATGTAAATATTTTAAGCTTGGGTGTTAAGGTTGTAAATTGATATATTTTAGGAGGTAGGTATGTAAAAACCAGTTAATTTATTTCAATCTTGTTTGCTTTTTTAAAATGATTTAAATAATTGTAGTAACGGGAGAATTTTTTCTTGGCATGACTTGCAGGAGATGAGAAACCTATTCAATCTAATGGTGCTGTCTCAAAGCATCATCCTGGGAAGGAATCCCTTCCTCTCCCTCCTCCCCGCCATGTTAATGCAAAAGAAAAGCAACCCCCTACTATTGCAAGAGTAGAGGAAGATGATATATTTGTTGGGGATGGCATCGACTATAGTGTTCCTAGCAAAGACATTAGCCATAGTCCTGTTTCGGAGGACATGGTGGAGTCTCCACGGAATCGGGAGAGGCAACCTTATTTTAATGAGCCTGTTTATGGTCCTGTCCCACCTTCTGAATCTGCTCAAGCTTGGCAACAAATGGTGTGTTATCTGCATATTATGTTAAAACATAGGGGCATTTATATGCATATCACATAAGTCTTATGATTTATATATCTAACTCCTAAATTTTCATATTTACATGTGCAACACTCAAATCTTTAATATTACATTAAAAAACGTCACTATTATTAACCTTTTTAAAATTGAAATACACCTTTTATTGCATAGGTTTAAGACACCAAATTGTTCTAAAGGTAAATATCAAAATTTATGTGTTAAACATGTATATACGTATGAATTGTGTGGTGTCTATGTAGATTTCCTTAAAACTTATTACGAACATCATGTGCCTATGCTGGTAGACGGTCATCTGCTACATTTCTTTTCTTTAACTTCACATTTCAATTTTTAAAATTTCATTTTTGATAATTGTTTTTATAATCGTGAACTGTTGTACTTTCATCTATGACTCTACTTAAAATTCAGTTCAGTATATTCCTTGTGATATTCGTCATTGTGTTAAGCTATGCAAACTTGTTTCTGCTCGTAGCCTTGAATCTCTCATTCAGGCCAGTTTTGGGCTTTTACTAATTTCTGTTTCAGTTGGCCTCTATTTTTATTATTTTCCCTTTTCCAGAATGGATATGATGTCATGCAGGCTCCAATGGTGGCTGCTAATTATCCAGAAGATTGGCATAATTATCAGTATGCTGAGCAATTGGCTTATTCTGAACATTATCTTCAGCAGAATGCTCAGGCATATGACGCACTTGCAGGAACACAGTTACTGCAGGATCCACGTTTTATGACCCAAGAAGATAAGGACCGAGGACTGGGATCCGTTTTCAAGCGTGATGACCAGAGGCTTCAACAGCTGAGAGAAAAGGACGCTAGAGAGAAAGACCCAAATTTTATATCTGAAAGTTACTCCGAGTGCTATCCTGGATATCAGGAATACCACCGTGAGGTTGTGGATAGTGATGATGAAGATGACTTGTCAAAAATGGACATGGGTGGCCGGGTATGGTTACTCATTCTTTCTAAATTATAGTTAATATAAATTACTTGTTGGAGTAAAGTGCCGAATTAGTCTCCTGACTATTTAATAAGGTCATTTTGGTCCAACAGTCTATAAAAGTATCAAATTAGCCTCTTTTAAATTGATGCTATAATTGTAATTCATGGGGATTATTTTAGTCCATATTAAAAGTGTTATGGACTCTGGGACTAAAATGAACCCCTTTTAAAAATCAAGGGATTATTTCGACACCTCTCATTCCGGAGGTGCTTTGGAACAACCAACATATATGATTGGATGCATAGGTTTGGCATGATATGTTTATCTTATATTACACTGCAATATGCAGAAAGGGTCGGAATGCAACCTCTCGCATAATTTTGGCCTGATATTTGCTTTTGTTCCATGTAGGCCAAGGGACGTCTTCATCGATGGGATTTTGAGACAGAAGAGGAGTGGGCTAAGTACAATGAACAGAAGGAAGCCATGCCCAAGGCAGCCTTCCAATTTGGAGTGAAGATGCAGGATGGAAGGAAGACGAGGAAGCAGAATAAGGATCAGAAGCTCAATAACGAGCTGCATAAAATCAACAAAATTCTTGCGCGGAAGAAGGCAGATGAGGTTCAGGACGATGGCAAACATTTTGATGATGATGATGACGATGTGCAGCCGGGTAAGAAGCTCAGGATTTGAATTATATATTGTGCTGAGTAAAAGTTCCAAGTGAAAATAGAGGGCATTTGTAATTATTCTTGTGTGATCTTCGGTGCAGTTTATGCCTCTAAAAGTTGTTTGCATAAATTCTCATTATGTAAGATGTAGCATAACAAAAGGCTGTCCTGCCAGCTGCAATATGAGTGCCTCAATTTCTCATCTTTGTTCCTTGTTAAAAAAAAAAAGGTTATATTTTGAGGATGGGTTATAATTATGAACGTAATCACTAAATCAACTTGGATCATTGGATTATATTTTCATTTCAAATTGAATCAGGCTAGATTAGGGTTATTTACAGGTGTATTATGAGAAGCGGGGTTATTCGAGCATGTTTGAATAGATACTTTGTTTACATATGAGTTTTACGTATTTATATTCTATTTTGGATTAGGAATAGATATAGGGTCTGTTTGGGGCAGCATTCTGGCTTCGATGTGATTCGAACCGAACCTACAATACTATTTGTGGTGTGTGTTTGAACTCCATTGTGCAGAAAAGGAGTTAAAAACTCTGTTTTACCAACTCAGCTGTCATGCCGCAGCATGTATTTTCATTTGGCGATCTCAACCCGAATTACCCCCAAGCCTTGATACCCGGAGTTAACCCAAACCAAGACGCAACAAATATTATTATTAAATTTAGAGCTAGGATACTATGGAGACTTAATATAAAGGAAAATAATCTTACAAAGCAAAAAGTGCAGAAATGTTTGCAAACAAATGACACAACAACAAGACACAATCTTGACGAGGAGAAACTCCGGGGTGGTGGTGCAAGGCAAACAACTGTCGTGAAGGCCGGAGAAGTATCAGGCTACTGTAGAGGAGTCAAACTACAACTGGAGGAAGTGGAGAAGTCATCGATGGCTGGAATCCGGAGTGCTGTTGATTGCGGCGTGTAGGGCAGTTGCAGGGAG